CTCAGAAAGGCAGGTCGGGATCATCACAGAGGGACCCGCAAGCGAGCGAGGGGCAGAGGAGGGCAAGGAGAAATGGGAACAGGGAAGGGGCAGAGGGGAAGAGGCGAAAGAGGAAGAAGGAGGCAGAATCCCGCCAAGCTGTTCCCAGTTTCCTGTCACAACCTCTCCTTCCCCTGATCGGGGGAGGGGTTGGCCCCTCCCCCCTGCACCTCCCCTGGGCCCGGGAATGCGGGGGGGGGCCGGAGCCGTCAGAGCGCCCAAGCTGGTCCCATATGGCTCCCAAAGGGGCCCAAGACGGCCCAAGAGGGCCTCCAAGATGGCCCAAGTTACCTCCTCGTCGCTCAAGGTAGCCTCCGACAAGCCTCCAAGATGTTTGAAGGCAGCCCCGAGGGGGTCCCAAGTGAACCCTGCTACGACATCCGAGAACACAATAAGACGCCTTCCGGGGGGGCAGCACCGTCCGAGCGAAACCTTGAAGCTGCTATACAAGCTTCTCCTGACGACCAGCCAAGACCCCATGTCCAGGAACATCACCAGGATGAGAGCCAGAATAAGAAGGGGCGCGACGGGAACTCCATCTGCACAGCAACTTGATCTCCAGCGGCCATGGGAGTGCTGAGTGCGCACAATCGAACGTCGCCAGATGAGACCACTGAACAGCCTCCACCGAGTGCAAGACCTGTCTTCCATGCTCGAGACGCTGGCAAATAGCCCTCTTTCTGCATGAAGGCAATCTTCGCTGACGGACGAATCCACCTTCAACCCTTCAAGAGCGGGAGCGTCGCCCGCTACTTTATCGATCCCAGACCTGCTCTAACCCATGACCGCGAGCTGCTTGTTAGTCTCACCACCCCTGAGGCGGCTTCCAGCGCAGACGCTCGTCCTCGTTGGGCCTCTTGAAAGGCATCTTGAAAATTCACCCATCTGGGCAGTTAGGACGGAACGTGGCGATGGTCTGAGCGGAAGATTAATAGCATCTTTCTCACAAAGAATGATGACGCACAAACCGAAATAGATGCGACACAAGCATCGTGAATAACTTCACGAGCGGAATCACTGCCGGAACCCACCTGGATCAAAATGGACAAGAAGTCCAGCAAGCCGAAACGAGCAGGACGAGTCGGAGAGAGACGTGCCTTCGCTGCCACACCACCATCACCATCTCTGCTGCCGCCGTTGTCGCTCATGTTCATGCCACTAACGGGAGGCGACCACTCAGTACTCTCTGCGACGGCCTTATACGCCTTGCCCGAATTCGCCTTTTGCGTGCCTGGCCCCTAATGTGATGGCTTGCATAGAGTAGGCAAGAGGCGCAACCTGAGCAGAGATACTGGTAACCCGTGCGAGGGACTCGCTGGTTTTGGCAACTGCGGCATTCATCTATCTTGGCCACCTCGGGTGCCAATTCCGAAACTGTCTCATGGGAGGCCTTCGTCGGTGCCAGCGCGCCCCCTGAGCGGATCGGGATCCGAACTGGCCAGGGAGGGGGTGGTCAAGCAAAGCAAAGGCAGCTGCGCCCAGGTTTCGAGCTCTCCCCTCCGCTGCGGCCAAGCTCGAAGCACCTGGACCTCGCGCTTCGAAACCGAGCCAGAATGGCCGCGGATGATGATGACGCTGATGATGATAATGACGATGATTAAGATAGTGATGCTGCTGATGATGCTGATGATGATGCTGCTGCTGATGATGATGATGTCGATGATGATGATGATGATGATGATGATGATGATGATGATGATGATGATGATGATGATGATGATGATAATGACGATGATTAAGATAGTGATGCTGCTGATGATGATGCTGCTGATGATGATGATGATGATGTCGATGATGATGATGATGATGATGATGATGATGCTGCTGCTGCTGCTGATGCTGCTGATGATGATGGTGATGCTGATGATGATGATGAGGAGGAGGAGGAGGAGGAGGAGGAGGAGGAGGAGGAGGTGGAGGAGGAGGAAGAGGTGGAGGAGGAAGAGGAGGTGGAGGAGGAGGACGGGGGGGCGGCCCACCCAGCGCGCGCGCGGCGCCCGAGGTGGGCCTCGCCGCCCGGGATGTGCCACGCGTTCCGGATCATCAGCTCGAAGTAGTCGTCGTTGTCGACCGAGGCCTGGCGCGGCCGCGTGCGCGTGCGCAGCGCGGGCGCGGGGGCGCGGGCGCCGCGCGCGCGCGCGGCTGCGGGAGGGGAGGCGTGGAGGGCGACGGGGAGGGAGCGAAGAGAGGAAGCGGAGAGAGCCGGGGGGGCGGGGAGAGGAGGGCGGGGAGCGCGGGGGGGGTGGGAGGGGGGGGATAGGAAAGGGGGGGGGGGGGCGAAGGGGGGGGGGCGCAGGGAAGGGGGGGGAGTAGGGAAGGTGGGGGAGTAGGGAGGGGGGGGGAGGGGGGGGGGACAAGCTAGGTGCGCTCGCGTCATATCTGACATCCCTTACCATGGCGCAGATCCCCTCTCTACTCGCACAGTCGGATGTCGAGCAGGGCAATGATCCCGAAAGGGTAC